ATTTTTTTTTTTTGGTTTGCCCTCTCCTTGCCAGCTCTCCTGATTCCCCTGACCCCTGCTTTATCTTTCCATCACACCCACCACATTCTGAATATTATTAATTTCCCTTTTCAGTTCACCCTGTACTGTAAGTGGCCCATGGCAGCGACTTTGCCCTGTTTTGCTCATGGGTGGCGCTCACGAACTTAGGACAGTGCCTGTTACACAGTAGGTACTCAGTAAGCAGTTGGAGTGTTTATGTGGTTAGAAAAGAGCTTCCCCAAGTCAGCACCTACCAGGACTACTCGTGCCATGCCCAGCAGGGTTCTTCCAAGCCTACTGCTCCATACCTTGTTCTGCACTTTGGAAGCAGAGCAGTGCCCCCAAGGGACTCACCAGCCAAACAGACTCTAACTGGCCGCCCAGTGATACGTGATGCCTTATGTCAGATGTGGGTTCTTGCCAGGTTAGTACTTACAAAATGCTGCAGACATTTTTTTTTTTTTAAATACATTTTATTTAAATACAATTTATGTACAGTGAAACACCCAAAACTAAAGTGGCATGGGTCACATCTTGACCACGTCTCCGAGCCCCGCAGAGTCCTGGCTGGTAGGAGTGGAAGGGTGTGCACACGGCTTAGAGTTGGCCAAGCTGACCTCCCAAAGGCAGGCCTCACCACACCCATTCCACTGTCATCATCATTGTCATCTATCCATTTGGTAGAAAGCTGTGACTCAGAGTCAAGTTTTTTCTGCACTCTGGAAAATTCCAGTACCCTGCTGGTGGGAGCGGGTGGAGGGAGGGAAGCTCTGCCCCTGGGCCAGCCACCCTGTGCAGGATCCCCACTTTCTGGGGCGCAGATCTATACCCCCTTCTGGGACATAAAGTGACCCTTGATCTCGATTCGAAGCCTTGGCCCTTAGAGTTGGCGCCAGAACGTGGGAGATCTGGAGGAGGTCGTTGAGTTTTGCCCCGAGCCAGGCAGCGCGTGATGCAGGCTTAATCCCGCCCTGGGCAGCAGGGGGCGCGCGAGGTACCGGCCTTTCGCGCGGGTAGGGGTGGAGGGCAGGCCAGTGCAACGTGGTGAGTGTCTGGAGGGGCGG